AGAAAGAAAGAAAGAAAGAAAGAAAGAAAGAAAGAAAGAAAGAAAGAAAGAAAGAAAGAAAGAAAGAAAGAAAGAAAGAAAGAAAGAAAGAAAGAAAAAGACGTCCTCGTGGCCCTTTAAAGATGAACTGCTATATTTTAATGTAAGCTTTTGTGGAACATCATCCCCTTCCTCAGATAGATGAGTTTGAATTCAGAGACTTTATGCAAAGCTCTCATAACGCTACATTTAAAATCTGAATGCTTAAGTAGATGAGACAGAGCTATCTGTCCTATCTCATGGACAGTAAAATCGAGGTTCTGCTGGGGAAAAAACGCAAAGTTAAGCCTGCGCACAAGGACTCTTCCAGAGAAGTAGAGTTTAATCTGCTCTCCTGCCAAAGGTCCATGTCATTCAAGGCAGGGTCGATTCTGCAGATGTGAACGTCCTGCTTCCCTGCTTTGTGTTTTTTTGCTTTTCCACTAGCCGCCCGCCAGACAAGACAAGCCTTCCTTCACGTCCTCTTTCAGCCCCCATCATCTTCCTCCCCTTCAGCCCCATCCCTCAGCCAACGTCTTCTCCTCACCCCCCCTGATCCTTCCTGTTTTCTCTCACCCTCACCCCTTTGCCCCTCTTCCCATTTTGGTGATTTACAGTATATATAAAATGCATGGGGATCTATGGAGACCCACGTTTCTCTGTATCCTTCCTCTGAAGTATCCTTCAAAATCACTGGTAAAGTCTATAATGAATGCCAAAAGCAGAGTGCCCTAAATCCTGTTGCTTAGTGTTGTGATTCACAGTGGGGACTTGGAGATTCAACTCTTTCATAACTCCCATTGATTCAAATGGGTCTGCTCTGAGACGTATTTTAGCATATAAATTGTAGTCGGAGTAGGGCCACGTGAATCAATGGAATTTAAAGAGGAGCGGACTTTCCAAATGGCTACTGATTCAATGGGTTTACTCTAGTGCCATTTGCTGCACTAAGCAACAGGATTGTATCCATTAGATATAGCCAGTAATGAGAGTTAGAAGCAAGCTGAGGTTGCAGAGAGATGATGGAGGGGGTCTTTCCATGTCTCTGAAGTCAAACTTCAAAGGATGCTGGATGCTGAAGACCAATACTCGGAGACCAATCTGAAGACCAATCACCAAACAAAGTAAACTAATACACCCACAACAAAAAACACACTGATCACCATAATCATCCAATCTTCTGAACAGGACAAAAGCTGATCCCACAGCTATAAATACTCAACTACCCAAGCACACTGCACCAGAGCACAGAGTTCTGACTCCTGTCCTCTGAAGATGCCGGCCACAGAGACTGGCGAAACGTTAGGAAGAACAACCTTCAGAACACGGCCAAAGAGCCTGGAAAACCCACAACAACCATCAAAAGTAAACTAACTTGTATCATCCCACAGAAGCTCACATTGTGACCCTCGGAGGTACACATTAGTAAGCAACCCCCTCTTTAAGTTGTGAGCTGTCTCTAATGCTTGTTTTAAGATTACCTGCTCCGAATGCAAAGAATTCATCTCTTGCCATATATTTTCCATCCTTATCCAAGAAGTGGCTAGGATTGAACTGTTGAGGTGTCTCCCATTGCTTGGGATCAAGGAGCACTGAGCAGAGATCTGGGAGCACCAGAGTATCCTGCAGAGAAAGAAAGAAGTCTCAGGAAGACAAAGATCCTAGAATCCTAGAACTAGAAGGGATTCCAAAATTTTCCCCTGCCCCTTATCTTCTTGTTGTTGTTGTTGCTAACCCCTCCTGCAGGGGCTAAGCCCCTCCCAAGTGTCTGTAGATGGTATTTTGGTTACATGGGCAGTTGGAGCATGATGATCAGTTCTGGGGGAACACATTCCCACATTACTCCTTCTCCTCCACCACCTGGTCATCCTCCAAATTCTATTTTTAATTTTATTTTTTTTCATATATGAGACCCATCACCTTATTGCTGAGTCCTCACTATTTTTACTTTTCTCATATTTATGCCTCATAAAAGGATTGCCAGAGGCAGGACCAGAGGAAGGAAGAATCGGCGGAGGCAGGACTAGAGGAAGGAAGGAAAGAAGTGGGGGCTGTGGAGTGGAAGGCAAATTACACTGCATCCAGTATGAACAGTGAAGTCCTAAATCAATCCATAGATCCTGGGTGAGCACTGGCTGCAATTTCAAATATAATACAGGCTGCTAATCAAATTGTAGCAAAACGGAGTCACCTTGATTTCACTTTCCAGTGTACTTGCACCCTCAGTCACATAAGCCTAGCATTGCGGGGAAGGAAGGCCCCAGCCTTGCATGCATTTGCATCTGGCAATAACTATGCACTCAACCCAATGGGTACATGCTAAAGTTCCTATGCACAGCTGGAGCCCCTTTGTGACTACAACTAAGCCGCATGAAAATGTTAAAGCAGTGATTCCTTTTTTAAAAATCAGCCCCATGATCTGATCACCCTTGCCTTTTCTTCAGTTTTATATTGGATGGACACATGTTTTACTTTACTGGGCAATAGCTGATTCCTCCTGAATAACAATGATCTAGTACACTCCTTCTCACCCCATCCATTTTCTTGGGAAACAGGGTGATACCAATATAAAATATCGCATACTTTTGGAATAAAATGGCCAAACAGATTTAAATCTTGGATGGAGAGTCTGGGTAGGCCAAATAATGCAACAGTGCTGAAGCGCTGGATCTCATGGATCACGGCACGGGTGTAGGGCAGTTTCTTCCGATCATCGTAGGAGATTAACGTGGGAGAACCCAGAGCACTTGCGATTTCCTTGTGGACTTTCTCTGAGGAAGAAGAAATAAAATAAGAACACTTTGATGCACAGAAGTGAGAAGCATCATCTTCAAGAAGCCTTTCTGAGTTGACTACGTTAAGCTCTGTTTTGCTATTTATTCAAGTGGCCAAAAAAAAATCAGAATTTAGAAAGTTCTCTTTAAGAAGATTGGATTTAATGGCATGCTGAAACCATACACTACTGAGCAATGTTAGGATGATACTCTGGGAACCAGAGCATCATCCTATGGTTGCTTAGCTAAGGGTCTCTCCCACACAGGATTCTATTTTATTCTATCTAAAAAGTAATGAGTACATTAAGCTCTGTTTTGCTATTTATTCAAGTGGCAAAAAACCCCAGAATTTAGAAAGCTCTCTTTAAGAAGATTGGATTTAATGGCATGCTGAAACCATACACTACTGAGCAATGTTAGGATGATACTCTGGGAACCAGAGCATCCTCTTACAGTTGCTTAGCTATGGTCTTCTCCCACAGGATCCTATGTCATTCTATCTAAAATGTAAGTTTTCAAGCTCTGCTAAAAAGGTGAGACAGTAAACTTCAGGGATTCAACGTCTCTAGATAGTCTACCAAGAAATAACTGAAAGGAATATGCAGGACTGGAGGGAAAACTGGTGGGAGATGGGTTGACTCAAATAAGGAAGCCTTAGCTTTTACTGTAGTTTGCAAGACTTGAGTAGACCTGTTCATGGAAGATCTTTTGGAGATTGCAAATTCATAAGTGTCATAAATCAGATGTAAGTTTTCAAGCTCTGCTAAAAAGGTGAGACAGTAAACTTCAGGGATTCAACGTCTCTAGATAGTCTACCAAGAACTAACTGAAAGGAATATGCAGGACCGGAGGAAAAGCTAACAGGAAATGGGTTGAGTAAAAAAAGGAAGCCTTAGCTTTTAGTTTCCAAGACTTGAGTAGACCTGGTCATGGAAGATCTTTTGGAGGTTGTAAATTCATGTGTCATAAATCAAGAGTGAGATGGATGGATGGATGGATGGATGGATGGATGGATGGATGGATGGATGGATGGATGGATGGATGGATGGATGGATGGATGGATGGATGGATGGATGGATGGATGGAGTCATGAGAAGAAACTTCATTGTAACTATCAACTACAGATTGTATGCCATTATAAGTGACCTGCAAGAAAATTTTTGCTATGGAGTGCTCCTGCTTAGAGTTCCAGATCAACCCTGTCTTTTCCCATAGCCCTCTCTTCTGTTTTCCACAATTTTTCACAGCTTTAAACCCAACCATTGCTTGCATGAAGCCATGTTGAAATGTAGCATTAAAAGTGACATGCAAATGATTTTTTTTAACAACACAGCAAAAGGTTTAGTCAATTCCTTTACATGGTATTTTCAAGCCTATGGATTGCTATGTTACTGTAAAAACCTAGCAAAAACATTTAAAAACATAAACAAGACCTGGTCCCTAAGCACGGCCTCTTTTGCCCGCTTCTCCACTTAAAACTCACCCCATCTAATTTTTCTATGTTTGTACATCTGCAAAACTTAGGAGTTCCTCCAGGCTAAGCGACACATTTCTTTTGCTCATGTCTGTCTGTCTGTCTGTCTGTCTGTCTGTCTGTCTGTCTGTCTGTCTGCCTGCCTGCCTGCCTGCCTGTTTACCCCACCCATCTAGTGCCAAGGCACTGTTCTTTGGCTATATTGGCACTCAACAAATATTTTCACTATTAGCATATGGGACCTCCCCAGCTACGATGGTTTTGCTTCACCAAGCTTGAAAATACCATAACCATCCTTCCCATCTGTTGCACGAGCTCTCCTCACCTTGAATGTCAGGATGAGCCACCATAAGAAGTAGTGCCCAGGATAGCGTGGCAGCTAGGGTGCCCGTGCCCGCCATAAACAGGTCAGCAATAACTTGAACCAGGTTGTCTTCATTAAACGTAGTTGTAGAATCCATTTTCTCCTGTGGATGAGAAGGACACAGTTGCAACCCAAGACACTTAACAGTTCTGTGGTCCCTGTTCCAGCTGTTCTGGTGTTTTTTTCCCTTTCGCACCAAATGCAGTGCTTGCAACTTTGTTTGCTGTATGGGGTGGGATGGGGTATATTTTTGTTCACTATTGTGGAAAATTCAGAACTTTCTAATTTGAGGGCCAATAAAAGCAAAATAGACATGTTAATTTAGGAATGGAACTCAGGGCTATAAGCAAGGAACATCAACTAGGGCTTTGACCCAGGACACCAAAATCTGGAGGCCAATTGACTGGCGAAGGTTAGGAAAATAAACATCACCACCTCCTGACTCTATCTACTTTCCTTTCAAAATAAAAGCATTAACTTTCACTTCCTTAGCTTTCACAACAGCTAGGTTGGCAGGAGCTGGGACAAGCGACGGGAGCTCACTCTGTCGCGTGGATTCGATCTTATGACGGCTGGTCTTCCAACCTTGCAGTACAGAGGCTTCTGCGGTTTAATCTGCAGCAGCACCATGTCCCCTATCCTACCGTATACTAAGCAACAAAAACAAAACACAATGTGGTTGTTGTGGGTTTTCTGGGCTGTTTGGCCATGTTCTGAAGGTTGTTCTTCCTAACGTTTTGCCAGTCTCTGTGGCCGGCATCTTCAGAGGACAGCACCATTAGACCCCAGCCGTGAAAGCCTTTGTGAATACATAAAACAGGATGTACTTGAACATGCTTCCAGCTCCACTGGTGGGGCAAGTGAGGGACTACTGTAAAATTATAGATAGAGTGAAAAAAAACAATGATCTGTCCTTCAAGTGCTACAGTTCTCACCAGGGACTCATCGCATTGAGCCTTAGGAACACCTTTCTAGTTATGCCTCCAGTTATGTCTACCCAGACTTAAGCTCAGCTCATTGACAAATGCATGGACCAAGAAAGTCTTGTGTTTTTTTTAATCATTGTTTCATGTCAGCTTGCTAGCTGTGTGTTTTGCAATTCTCTTTTTTTTTCACGGACTAAGGCACATTTGTGCAAATTTTTTTTAAAAAATCTGTATTGGGGAAGAGGTTGTTTTGGGAAGGTTGAGCTATTCATGCCTTTTAATGCACACATTGGCCAAAACCCTTTTGCTTAGTATTAGAGTAGACCCATTGAATCAATGGGCATTTAGTACATCAACATCTCTGTTGAAGGAACCATGGCAGTACATGAAACATGCAAGAAGAACACACCTCTAATCAGATCACACAGAATACAGTTTGGAAAGATAACACACAGCGAGGTTTATACATATATGTACATGTTTTTGTACCCTCAAAGAGTTTCTGTAAAGGAATAAGGCTGGCCAGGTTTTCCGTTGCCAAGGCAGGTTATCTCACCTTCCGGTCTAGATTTGAGAAGCAAACAGACACAGCTGGGGTTTGTCACTCCTCCCCCAGGCAAACACCAGGACCAGTCTTATGTAAATTGAACTCCGGCACCTGGACAGTCATTGCGCAAAACCTTTTCCTCTGCAAACATTACAGTGGGGTCTCGACTTACGAACTTAATCCGTATTGGAAGGCAGTTCTCAGGTCGAAAAGTTCTTAAGTCGAATCTGCATTTCCCATAGGAATGCATTGAAAACCATTTAATCCGTTTCTGCTCTTTTCGTCCATAGAAACTAATGGAAAGCTGCTATTCCGCCTTCTGCCACTAGAGGGGGATATTTTTTCTTTTTTTCCTTTTAACCTAAGATGACTTAGTTTTTTAAAAAAAGGAAAAAAAAGAGATCGTAACTCGAATCTAAGTTCATAAGTCGAGTCCATATATTCCTATGAGAGCGGTTCGTAAGTCGAAACGTTCGTATGTCGAGCCGTTCGTAAGTCGAGACCCCACTGTATTCCCTATCACTTTGGAAGTCTCCTTTCCACTCAACCTTGTGACCTCTTTGCAAGATAATGAATTATTTTCCTGTCAATACAATGTAACCATGTCTTTCAATAATTGCTGTCTGTTGGCCCATCCTGTTGTAAAATCCCATCCTTTCTGTGACTCCCACTCCGATAAAGTTTTGGATTCCTTTGTAACCCCATCCCTTCTGCCAATAGGCCATGAACCCCCTATTTCTCTATTTCTCTTCCCACTTCTTTGTACCATGAACTACCCATTCGTCCTCCCATTCCCTTGTGTAACCAATGTTATAAAAGTCCTAGTATTCCTATGTAACACACAGTTGTTCTTGCCTGCACTTGGAGGCATGACTTCCATCATGCTTTTTATTTAGCTAAATAAAACAACAATCATTTAAACTCTCTCTCAAGTCAAGATTTATTGGCAATTAATTTTGACTTGGAAAGTCTAGGGGCTAGCTCGGACTCAACACTGTAATTTCTATTGATTCAAAGGGGCCAACTTTAAAAAGCAAAGCAAAGCAAAGTGTGCTGCTTATATACCGCCCCATAGTGCTTCAAGCACTCTCTGGGTGGTTTACAAGTTAATTATGCAGGCTACACATTGCTTCCCCTCCCCCAGCAAGCTGGGTACTCATTTTACCGACCTCGGAAGGATAGAAGGCTGAGTCAACCTTGAGCCGGCTACCTGGGATTGAACCACAGGTCGTGAGCACAGTTTTGGCTGCAGGACAGCGGTTTAACCACTGCGCTAAAGTTTGGTAGGTCCGTTTTGAATCAAAGGAACTTACAGAGAAGTTGACAGCAAGTCCCTATTGATTCAATAGACCAGCTCTAGTGCAAGTAACTATGCTAAGCAACAAGTCTCTGGCCCTTGTTTGGTACCGGTGTGCTTCATTTCTCCAAAATGCCCCCCTCAGAGATGGAAATGAGTGAATTTTCTACTTGGGGTCTGATGCTTTTCGCCATGAGTCTTCAGAGGGGTAAAAAGCCTATCCTTGTCATGATGGTCCAGTCAGATTTCTCCTCCATCCCTGTTTGAGGAGAGATTGACCAAATGCACCTGCCCAAAGTTTGAGGTACCAGGCAGGCAGCAACCCTCCACCCAAATTCCTATTGAATCTCTAATGGGTGGACCCCCACATGGCTGCTTTGTGGTCTTTGGCTGGGTGGATCACATGGAGGGCAGTTGAGACACAGCCGAACAAAAGCTTACTCTGTTGATCTGTGCCAAGTAGAAGTCAGTGAAATTCTGCGGTGCATGGGGTACCCCGTTCTTCTTATGTTTTTCCATCTCCTCCCTGATGAAGGAACGTACAAATTCACAAGAGGAGAGGGCTTTCTTGTGAGGTCCAGGAATAAGCTGCATAACTGAAGGGAGGAAGTTGTAGAACTGTGGAACAAACAAAAGAAAAGTTGTGTGGATGTTACTGAAATCTTCGACATGTGATCCTTGTGTCCCTGGTCAGTTGACATTCCTGTCTTGTGGTCCGGATTGCTCATATACTGATTACCCTCTTCCTTAAAGGCAAAGCCTGAAGATAGAACAAACTGTGCCATTTTATGATTAAATGAGGCATTGCATTAAGTACATAGGGTCTAACTATAGTATCTTGCCTTTTTTTTATTCACAAGAAAAATGGGAGTGGAGAGCCTGAGCAAGAGTAGGCCAACCACTGGGAATGTAAAGTATACAGTAGGACTCTCTCACTCAGATTTAATTGAGCAATTTCTGCTAAGCGTGTGCAAAATAATTGCCTGCTCTTGCTCTCCTCTCTTGCCAAGAGCAGCACAAATTTAGGTTTTATAGCCTACGGGCTATGAAACCTAGATCAACTTGAACTTGAGTACTTCACCCTTTTGCAGAGAGAGGAGGATAATTCTGTGGGTTCCTTATCCTCACATATGTAAAGCATGTCAAACAGAGCTAAACTTTCTCTGCATGCCAGTTGTTTAGAGTAAGCCCACTCAAAGAGACACCCACCTACACCTGGGCTGAAAAGTAAAGCAATCTCCGTCTGTGCCTATGGAGGCTATTCTTCTTTACTTTAACTCCTATGCGGGTGAGACTTTAGCTTTAAAAACCAGCTGGAGGGACACATTTCATTTACCTCCATACGCACCCGCAGGGGTGGCAGAGGGATTCAAATAAGTAATTTTTTCAGCCTCTGAGTAAACGACACAACTTTTTGGATCCTTTTGCAGAACATCTGCAGAATAGCTTGTCTACATGGGGAAGGGGGCAATTTGTGCCCAACTGTGATCTAGTTATAGGACCCAGTGAAGGAACAACGCTGCTATTTATTTATTCCATTTGGGAATAAATACACTCTAAAGTGTCAACTAGGTAGTGCCAGGAAAGGCCAAGCGCAGTTTGCTTTTGTTTTGCCTGTTCAATATTTTTTTTGTTTTGTTTTTATTTGTATTTACATTTGTGTTCCTGTTGTTTTTGGTTATTACAATGGAACACTGCATTTTTTATCTTGATTTTTGTAGAACTATTATGTCTGATTTTTTTTGTTAACCTTGTAAACCACTCCAAGTGGCCTCGTAGCCAGATGGGTGATCCATTAAATCAATCCATGAAATAAATAAATGTTGTGTTTCATCATCAGAGAGCAAAGATGGGATCCCTGCAAAAGGCTGATTTTGCTTTGGAGGAATCCTACGTCTGGAGGGAAGACATAAAAGCAGGAAAATATGCATTTCCCTTCAAGTGTCCAGAGCACCGCAGCCATTTAAAAAAAATAGAACCCTCTTGTTTCCCGGGCAATCTTTTCCGACTCACCATCTCTCCAGCAGTGCCCTTAAATTTTGCAATCACGTCAAGGTGTTCAGTCAGCTTGTGCAAAGCTTCGTCTTCAATGGGGAGTGAATGTCCAAAAACGACATCACAAATGACTCTGGCCGCCGAACGCATGGTCGGCCGCGAAGGATCCAGTGGGCGTCCTGCAGAGAGAAGGGCAATCACAGCAGTTCCTTTCAGCCCTTAGGGAATAGAGACCACACCCCTACACCCACACCACACCCACACATGCTTTTTCCATGCAGTTGTACCTCTGGGTACAAGAGTATGGGGAGAATCCTTTAGTGCAGTGGTTCCCCAACATCGTGGCTCCTTTGACTCCATCCCGGAGCCTCCCCAGTACAAAAAGAGGGTTGTGCTGCTACCACAACTACAGCCACCACCACCGCCTCTGTCTTTTCTCCTCCTACACAGGTGGGTGTCCAAGGGAATGGGCGCAGCTCACCCCAAGGTCTGAGTCTAGTCACTGGCTGGTGGTTAGGCAGGATCCTGGCCAGCATGCGGGGAGACCCACCAGCCAAAGGGAGTGGTGGTGGTGCGGCAATGGCAAAGGATGAGAGGATTCTGTGGTGCCGCTGGCTGCGTCTAGCAGTGTCCCAGGGCGCCGCGAGATAACACTTTGGGAACTCTACGGCTTTAGTGTGAATCCAGAACCTCTTACACAGGGACAGGTATGATGGAGACTTGAAGCCTCCCTCAGCATTAAGACAAACAAAGGCCCAAAGGCTCCACAATGGTAAAAATCTGCAAACATAAGAATTACATGAGAAAAAAAGGGGAGCTAAAAGCATCTGGAGGCTCCTTGTTGTGGAGGTTCCTGGTTAATATTTCAAGATACCTGGATGCCTAAGTCCCTTGGCTGAGCTGCTGGTAGTACCAGATCTACAGCCACAACTGGCCCTTTTCAAGAAGTTACAGGCAGATTCTGCGTAAGTTGCAACTCCAAGATGAAGTATCTCCATGCAGTCCTGTACTCAAGTTCTCTCTCTCTCTCTCTCTCTCTCTCTCTCTCTATCTATCTATCTATCTATCTCTATCTCTCTATCTCTCTATCTCTCTATCTCTCTATCTATCTATCTATCTATCTATCTATCTATCTATCTATCTATCTATCTATCTATCTATCTATCTATCTATCTATCTATCTAATCTCTCAGAACTGCAGAGCTGGAAGGGGCCCTAGGATCATCCAATCCAAACCACCAAGAGTGTGTTTTAAGCACTGTGGGGAGGCATATGAGCAGCACACTTTAATCTTTTTTTAAAAGTTGGGCTGGAGTGAATTCTATATACGTGGAAGGGTCACATTAAGTTTGCTCCCAGTGACCCTTTCCAGCACAATCAGACACGATTCTTTACTGCTGTCTCATCTCACCCTATGTCTCTCTGTAAGGATGTCTCAATCCAAAGATATTATATACAATGACAGCACAGAACGCCCATCTTCACTCTGCAATTAAATCAGCTGCTGCCTTCTCACCAGCCATTCCCGACATGCGCTGGATGGAGCGTCTGCCCGCCTAGATGGCCTTTGAGCATATCAAGCTCAGGATGGGTTGCTTGAGTGCTGCTCAGAGCCCTTGGAAACCCTCATTTTGGAGGATACCAGCCACAGGTTCTCCCACGCCACCATGGATTTGCGAGCTGTGATTTTGATGTCTCGGGATAACAACTCCAAGACAGTTGGCATCCTGACTCAAGGGTGTTTGCCTAGAAGGTGGTAACATGCATTTTCAGGATTCATACTGTTTACACGTGACCTGCCTTACGACTGTAGTCCACCTCCTGCAGTGCCCTGTGGAACAAAGCAGCTGTTCAACACTGAAACAGCTGGTTGGCCAAAGTCAAAGAGGTTGGTTAGAAGAGCCACTTGCACATCATCTTTCAGCTGTTACATCCATACCCTTTTCTTGAGCAAAGGTCTCCACGAGTAGTTGCGCTTCCTTTCCTATTTGATGCTCCAAACCATTCTTCATTTGAACTAAGGTCAGCATGGTAGATTGGCCGAAATGTCTCTGCTGTTTCCAGGTGTTGCCATTGGAAAAAATTATCCCTGTGGACAATCAAGAATGATCAGTGGGCTTTGACAGGAATCCATGGGCACCCCTTAGATCTACCACCCAAAGCAAATTGATCTGCAACACTGAGGCCACTACGCTTTGCTGAAGCTTCAGCAGTCAAGGCCAGAGGTTACGCTGAATTGGGGAGGCAGAAAGTTTTTTTCTAAAAAAGGACATTCTCAAGCTCTGGAAGGGGTGACTCCATCCAGCGACTTTCACCAATACTGTCAATGTGTATCTGGCTGACTCAAGATCAAACTGTATGTTCCACATAGCGTGGTTTAGAAGCACATTGGTGTTCCAGAGATTCTGGCAGAGCTTTATGCTCAAGCAATCCTATTTGCAAATGAAGCCCCTGTTTGCCTCCTGATGGCCAATCACAAAACAAAGCAAGCTTGCTGGCAAACTACAGGAGGTGAGAAGGGCTCAGGCTGAGCTCAGTCGGCGTCAGCGTCAAAGTCCAGAGATTTTGTACATGAAAATATTAGGGATGGGAGTCTCAGAAAAAAATTACCTCTGCATCCCATAATTTGGCAGAAACACTCTAGATGGAATTATGGGACTAAGTGTTTCTTATTTTTCTGAAAGTCCCATCCTCAAAATCTTTCGACTGCTCCTGATGTCTCTTTTCATACCAAAAGCTTTCTGAATTCATTGTTGAGAACAGAGAAGCTGGTTTAAAATACGGTGTGACTTATCTATTGAAAGTACAGTGGTGCCTCGCTTAACGGGCGGCCCGTTTAACAACGAATCCGCATAGCGATGATTTTTTTGCGATCGCATTGCGATGTTTTTAATGGGAAAATATTGCTTTGCGATGATCGGTAAGCTGTTTCGCTTACCAATTTTCGCATAGTGATGATTTTTCAACAGCTGATCGGTGGTTCCAAAATGGCTGCTGGGTAAAAAAAATGGCCGCCCGCTGTTTTCTGGGAAGGATTCCTCGCTTACTGGACAGCGAAAATGGCCACCGTATGGAGGATTTTCGCTTAAAGGTGAGTTTTTTGCTCATAGGAACGCATTAAACGGGTTTTAATGCATTCCTATGGGCTTTTTATTTTCACATAGCGACGAAATAGCTTTGCAGTGATTTTTGCTGCACGGAATATCGTCGCTATGTGGGGAACCACTGTATAAACAAAAGACAACTGTTTTCCTGCTTTGAATCTTGGAGTGGGGAGTTGTATTTGAGAACAACGTTCCAGAGAAGTGATAAGAGACACTGGACAACTGCTGTCTTTGAATCAAATGTAAAGAAGTCTAGAGCGGAGCAAGTCAGATGTGACTCTGAATGCTTTACATTATACTGCACACAATTCATGTGCCAACTGCACCCTTTCCTGGAGAGGCCTGATCTGGCCGTGGTGACACACCCCAGCTGGGTGATTATAATGCTCTCTATGTGGGACTGCCTATAGAAGGTGTCGGGGAACTGCACTGAGTCCAAAATGCAGCAGCCAAATTGCTAACTGAGGTTGGTCACAGGACTCACCCCCCCCCCCCCCCGTTGCCACAGCTCCCTTGGCGACTGATCCAATTCTGGGCTGAGTTCAAGGTTCGAACCTATAAAGTCCTCAATGGCTTGAACCTAAGCTGCTTGAAAAACCACATCTCCCTTTATGAGTGTGCCCGGGTGTTTGAAGATCATCAGGAGAGCCCTTTCTCTTGATCCCGCCACCTTCAAAAGAGCGCCTGGTGGAGACTCAGGAGAGCGCCCTCTCGGTGGCTGCTCCCAGACTCTGGAACTCCCTCCCACTGGAGGCCAGCCTGGCTTCGTCTTTGCTGTCCTTCCGCAAGCAGGCAAAGACCCTTCTCTTCAGGTTTCCCTCAGCAACTGGCCGCCTGAGTGGAGTTTTTAAATGGATTGTGGCATCGTCTTTGCTGTCCTTCCGCAAGCAGGCAAAGACCCTTCTCTTCAGGTTTCCCTCAGTGACTGGCCGCCTGAGTGGAGTTTTTAAATGGATTGATATACCTTGCTGCTTTCAATGTGCTTAGGTGTTGATCATGTTTTTAGTAAAGTGCTTGTCTGATCTTTTTTTTAGTATTTGTATAATCACAGTTGTTAGCTTTAATATTGTCTTTTAATTATTGCAAGCCACTTTGGGTCTTTTTAAGGAGAAAGGTGGGGTGGCCGCCTGAGTGGAGTTTTTAAATGGATTGATATACCTTGCTGCTTTCAATGTGCTTAGGTGTTGATCATGTTTTTAGTAAAGTGCTTGTCTGATCTTTTTTTTAGTATTTGTATAATCACAGTTGTTAGCTTTAATATTGTCTTTTAATTATTGCAAGCCACTTTGGGTCTTTTTAAGGAGAAAGGTGGGGTGGAAAGGAAGGAAAGGAAGGAAGGAAGGAAGGAAGGAAAGAAAGAAAGAAAGAAAGAAAGAAAGAAAGAAAGAAAGAAAGAAAGAAAGAAAGAAAGAAAGAAAGAAAGAAAGAAAGAAAGAAAGAAAGAAAGAAAGAAGGATGGGTATGTTGTTAACCGGTATTAATTGGTTCCAGCCTAGCTGACTGGATGAATTAATATTTGGTGCAATTAATGCCTGCAAGGCATTCAACATACACTGAGGCTGTTCAAATGGAGAAACAGCTGTATCAGTGCATGCTCTGAAAATGGCAAAAATGAATAATATTTTTCTCCAGTATGGAAGTCAGGAGTGAGTTTCAGAAACGATACCAAAGCCTGCACTTGCTCTCCATTTCTGCCATCTGCTGGAATAAAAGCTAAAGACTTTTTTCTTTGCTATTCCTGAGGACGGTTTTCACGTCATTGATCAGGAGCCTCTTAACTTCACTGCCACAGAGAGAAGACATGTGGAGTAGATTACAAGCTATGATGTTGTTATTCTCACGACCTTAGCCCTCTTGTTTAGCAAGTTATTGTTCTGTATTGAGCCTGTCTTTCCAAAGTAGTCAGGAAGATAAATGTGTTACTCTCTACTAAGCACAATGAATAATAAAAAAAATGGGTGCCCTCAAGTGGAATTCTGACTTATGGTGATCCTTTTCAGGATTTTCCAGTTAGAGAATACTCAGAGGTGGTTTGCCATTCCCTTCTTCTGGGGGTGCTCTGGGCAGCTTGACCAAGGAAGGTCACCCAGGCTAATTCTATTTATAAGAGGCATAGTGGGGATTCGAACTCCCAACATCTAAAACACTGAGCTATCCAGCTAGCACAATTTGATGAAAAGTTATTGATAATTCACTCTGCCTGTGAGAAAATAGTTGGGGCGGTTGGCGGTTAGTGCCAGTTTAGCACAATTATATAAACAAAACAAAACAGCTAAGCACCAGCTAGGAATGTTTAAGAAAGGCTGACTGAACGATAGACAAGCTAATAAAAAACAAAAACTCCATAGAGATCTAGATATAGCTCAGTTAGATAGCTAGAAGAGAGGAGAAAACAAATTGGCGTCATGCTTTACAACATATGATTTTTATCTTGGTCATTTATGCTGCTTTGGGTAATAAATGTTCTCCTTAGAATTTCTGATTTTGCGCTTTACTTTTAAAAATATGACTGAAATGTCTTTTTCCAGCTGTACTTTTTATGGCTACACTATCTTTACATTTCTGAACCATCATTTTCTTGTACAGCAGGACCCTCTTATCTGCCTCTGCTAATTCAATTATCCACAGTCTAGAAACATTAAAAATATTTTTTCAAAAATATGTTTCTAACAATAAAATTACCAGAACTGGCCACAAGAGGGAGGCACAGCCCATGCTTTATTTAGTGTCGCTATAGGCATATATTTCCATGATGTCATTACCAGAAGTGTCTACAAGAGGGAGCCAGAGACCATCCTATGTACAACATATATTATTATAATAGCATTTGCTATAATTCATGTTTTTCTGTGGGGAAGGGGGTTTGGAACCAATCTCCTGCAGATATGGGGGTTCTGCTTTACATGAAATACAGATTAAATAAGAGCATGTAAAATAGCATCCACTTGGCTGGTTCATGTTTCTACTCAGAAATAGTAGAATGAAAAGACAAAACTGTCTGGAAAAAAGAACTGTTGCACTCTGAGTGATAGACAACTTATACTTCTGCCTTTAAAAGGAATAAAGCATTTCTACAAAGATACTCATATGAGATTTGCTATGTTAAAGTGCTAAGAACTGTCTAACTTCACACAAACAACATTATCTCTCACGCAATACCCGAACCAGGGGACATCCACTCCAACTGAGTGTTTCGAGAGTGAGAACAGAAAAAAGAAAATATTTCTTTCCCCAGCGTGTTGTTAGTCTGTGGAACTGCTTGCCACAGGATGTGGTGATGGCTCTGGCCTAGAGCTTTTAAAGGGGGATTGGACAGATTCCTGGAAGAAAAGTCCATCGCAGGTGGCAAGCCATGATGGGGATGTATAATCTCCAGGCTTAAAAGGAAGGAACCTCCAAATGCCAGGTGCAGGGGAGGGGGATCGGGAGACAGGGTCTCTCATGGGCTCCCAGAGGCTCAGGAGACAGGTCTCTCGTGGGCTCCCAGAAGCATCTGGTTGGGCCACGGTGAGACACAGGAAGCTGGAGTAGAGTTATAGGAAGCTTGGCCTGTGAGATATAGGAACCTTGGCCTGATCCTGCAGGGCTCTGCTGATGTTCTTATGCTCTCATCTTCTCTTGTGGAGAGGAATGTCTGCCATGTGAGAGCGGGCTTTCTTCAGGTCCCAGATTGGGAGAGCTAAGGAATGGTGTTGGGACCCTAATCAGACACGAGCGCTTCAGGAATCCCTCACCATGCCTCACAGCATAGTGGCTAAAACCTTGTTTCCAAAAGTTGCACCACCAAATTCCAATTCTGGATTTTAGCCAATGTGCCATGACAAGAAAGACGCTCAGCCTGTTTCAACGGCTTACCTTTTTTGTTTCCCAGTACTTTGAAAAAAGGGAGCACTGGTCGGCCGGATAATATTCCATAATCGTTGCTTAGCCCTTCTTTCACCGTTTTGAATCCAGTCAGGACAACCAGAGGGACGTGTCCTATCCATAAGGTGAAAACATCTCCATAGCTGCTTGCAAGCTGTAAGTGGGATCAAAGCAGACAAAAGAGAGGTTACACTTGGGACCAAACTCATGCATGAGCCAGTCTGCAATGTGATTCTGCCCCCCCGCCCATCGTGGCAGTATCTCGTTCAGGATATGATCCCACAGACCTATCGCTTGCATTTTGGACTACTTATAGCATGGTCTGCTGTGAGTTCTTTCCCAGGGATATTTCACACAACTCATGGGGAATAGCACTCCAGCCTTACCCAAATCTGTTCCCAACTGGGACCCTTTTGGTCCAGCAGTAAGGCTACTAGTTGCTGGGGTTGAACTAGGCTGGGGCGAATCCCCAATGGACAGAAGGATCACTTTATGGGAGGTCACGCTCAGCAAAGCCACTTTTTCTGGTGTGATCAGACTTGCACCTTTCTCACCACCTGATCACCGCCTGATCACAGCCTCACTTGCAAAATAAACAATGCACACTTCAGACCTTTCTGCTCACGTCGTTTCTGTCCTTACATCCTTGATTTGTTCAAACCACATCTCTGTTTTGGGTTGGGTTGGGTTGGGTTGGGTTGGGTTGGGTTGGGTTGGTTGGTTGGTTGGTTTCTGCCCATAGGGGGGACTCAAGGTGTCTCACAGCAGATAAAAAAAACTGATTTAAAAACAGGATATAAGTACACTTAAAAAGCAATTAAACATCTATTAAGGTTTTAAAAACCAAGTTTTAGAATTGGGTTGGGTTGGTTGGTTTTGGATAATGCAGTGAGCTAAAATACGGTGCCAGTGAGCAGTCTAAAACAGCAAAACTCATGCAGCAATTTTCTTCCTGCTTTCGTGATCGGCAGAGGAGGGAGGGAAGGAGAGAGGGGATCGCTGGGCAGAGAATAGTCTCTTGTCATTCTTTTGCCAACTGCGGTTGACAAGAGAGTGAAATCAGCTTTATGTGTGTGCACGCGTGTTCCCCAATGCACAAAGGGGCCTCACGAGACACAAACTGTGGCTAAAATTGCCCAGTGACGTGGTGGTGGTTGCATGCCATCAAGTCAGCCTCGATTTATGGCGACTCTATGAATGAGATATCTCCAAAATGTCCTCTCCTCAGCAGCTCTGCTCAGCTCTTGTAAGCTCAAGCCTATGGCTTCCTTTACGGAGTTGTTCCAACTTGTATTTGGTTTTCCTCTTTTCCTACTGCCTTCAACCTTTTCCAGCATGATTGGGTTTTTTCTCCCCAAAGAATCCTGTCTTTTCATGACACCCTGAGGTCTGTAGTCCCTCAGACCTGCCTGCCTTGTCCCCTTGTGGGCACCCAGTGTCTCCTTTGGACTTTCGTGGATCTCAGGTCTTGAAGACATCCTCCGATGGGCCTGTAGATGAGGCTGACGGACTTTGCTCACGACTGCAGAGCTATCTTTCTTATTTTAAAAATATCTTCCCCTGAAGGAGAGGATCGTTATATCTGTGTACTCACCAGGTAGTTAAAGATAAAGAATAGAATTTGGCTACTTTCAGTATCAGGGGGAAAAATCAGGAATTTTCTAAACAAATTTTCTTAAAAAAAGAAACATTCCAATCTCTTAGCCTGGATGGATGAATCTGTCTGTTTTCAGTTTTTTTTTCCACATTCAATTTTTTTAATGCCAATTTTTCCCCCTGTCTTTCTATCTAATGTATGAAGCAATTTGTAAATGTTGTGAAGCTCTTATTTTTGAAGAATTGATAGCAAAGGAAGCAAACAAAATCCCCAACCATTCTAATTAGCAGCAAATCATCACGCATGCTGAAGGCTTATTTTTGCTCTCTTCTACTTACGAAGTCTTCTTTTTCTTTTTCTTAAGCACGAATAAACATGCAACCCAAACCATCACATTGAAGGCAATAAGATTATGTGGATCAGTCACCTTGCTGAATCTAGCAATTTCCTGGAAAACTTGAATCCATGATCAGCTCAACGGCAGACTTCAGAACAAGGCTGCCTGAGGACAGCACCTCTCTAAGCCAAACACAACTTTCACTTTTGTCGAAGTAAAGCCCTGGGCACATTCTTCATATCAGAGAAATTTGTGATGCCTGCTCCACCAAGTGCCATGTGCCCTGAAATAATCCAAAACCAGATCGGCAGCAAGTGGAACAGGACTGCTTCTCAATGGTTTCCCATTCAACTTGTAATGGCCAAGTAAATTTGTTCTACGGTTGTCAATATGTGACATCTGAAAGAATTTGCAGAGCTTTCTGCTCTGTGGCAAGTAGCAGGCAGCCCACAGACAGACAGACGTGAATATTACTGCACCAGCAGCTGGTGACCCACCTCACTCCAGGATTTCAGACCATGGACTGCGCCAGCATGAGGATTTTTAGCATCAATTACTAACGAAGCAAATAAATGTAAGCTCCAGACAAATCATCACAGGTTATATTTTGCATTTTGTGTATTCTTTATACTTTATCCACCCTCCACATTTACATCTAGGTAGGTAGGTAGGTAGGTAGGTAGGTAGGTAGGTAGGTAGGTAGGTAGGTAGGTAGGTAGGTAGGTAGGTAGGTAGGTAGGTAGGACGGACGGACGGACGGACGGACGGACGGACGGACGGACGGACGGACGGACAGAAATATTATTAGCAAAGGTCCAAAATTCTTGCTGATCTCTCAAAATGGTTGAGGGAAACTGGTGCCTCTGAGTTCTCCTTTGCTTCCTCTCTTGCCACCCCATCAACCACCTGCATCCCTGCACACACTTTTCAGCATGATTAGACAGCCTGAACCAAGTGAAATGCATTCACTGCATATAGAAAGAAAGAAAGAAAAGTTGAAGCCCCAATGGTGGAGGGGGGAAAGGGGAGGTATTATTTCACAGGGACCTCTGTGACAATCTTGGGGATTGAAAAAAATGGTCTGGGGATGCAGCCCAGCCATGCTGTATCTGCAAATATCTGCACTATGCAGTTAAAGCAGTTTGATACTGCTTTAACTCCCACAGCCCCCTCCTGTGGAAACCTGGCATTTCTACCTTGGGGAGATCATCAAAGTCACACTGTTAAGATCAGAGATACACGTCTGGGCAATCAGACATGCCAGTTAAGCCTTTGCTTACCTTATTCCAGTGGCTAATTCCAGAATAAAGCAGAAAGGGAAGGCAAAAAGGCAGAGAGGACATGCTATGCCAAAGAGATGTTTTTCACAAGATAAGGGAGCACCGCCTCTAAATAAGAGCTGAGCATCTCCTGTGCTCCTTTATAATTCACTCGTCCAGCGCTCTAGAGAATTGCCCCAGATGACAGTAGAGAGTTCTAAGCACCTCACCATTCCAGGAAGATGGAAGGGCCGCTAAAGGGATACCAACCTGTAGTAATTGGGTAGCATAGACACCTGAAGCGCCCTGCGTTCCTGGCTCCAAAGCATGTTCTCAGGCTCCCCGCGGAACTGCTGCCTACTCAAGGAAGTGGCAGAAGAGGAGGGAGCAAATGCATGGCTGATTGCTCAGAAAGCCCTCAAGCCCAAGGGCTGACAAAGAAGCCCGAGACCTGTTCTTCCCGTTCCGTAACATGACGGCAGTGAATGTAAAACAGGTGGTAAAGCAAGGTATGCAAGCCATGTCTGAAGGCAGGATATACACTGAAGGCTTGGGTTTCATTTCTTACATTTATTTGCTTGCATGTCTTGGCTTTTTATTTTATTTATTTATTTATTTTATTTTATTTATATCCCGCCT